TCTCCACTCTCCAACCCGGCCCACATTCTACTGAAGTTTGTAAACCTGAACTCAAACAAATTATGTTCTAGATATGATAGAAACTACCATAAACAGCACTTCCTGGAAAGCAGAACTCTTCTTGTAAAGCCAAAAAGTACTACAGCTGTGGTAACTGCAGAACAGTGCACTGCACCTGCTGCACTAGGTTTTAAATGATGGCAGAGAATTGACAGCGCTTATGAAATCAATTTACAGGACTTTAAAAAGATTTTTAAAAGATAGAATAGTGTAGAAAATATTGGAATGCATAGCATGTGCTAAAGGTGAGTACTGGTTAGTAAAACTTCTGTTTCTATACATTATACACTATGATTGCCCATGGATATTTATTGCACACATAGGCAGCAACTGTGTCATCATGTAAAGCGTATTTCTTACAGTTCTTACGGCTGGTTAGCAAAAAAGAAAATACTGGAAAACACTCCTTTAATATACCATAATACCTGACTTCTAATCCACCATAGACTTGAAATATAAATAGATGAGATTAGATTATGTCCTTTCCTAAAGTTCAATAAATGTGTTTTGAAGTGCAAATTTCAGATTATTCCTGTTATTTCCAACAGCAGGTTCTTTTGAAAGCAAATAAATGTATAAAGGCCGGTAATGGCCTTTTAAGCAGTAAAACATCATTGGATGCCTTGGGATGGAGGAAAAGGAGGTGTAACTTTGTAGGTTTTTCCAAGCCTTATCCCAAGGTCAATGTGGGAGAGAGTGTCTGGGGGAAGCTCAATCTAGAGTTATATACTCTGACAGTTTTAGGCATAAGCATGAGAGGGTGAAAGGCAGAATGAAAGAAACCACAAAAAAGGGAAACAAACAGAAAATGCTCAATGTTGAAACTGTGAGCCCTAGATACTAGCATCACAGTCAAAAATAAACCAAGGCCGTGGTTCCTAATGATGCTTCTGGGGTTTTTGTGAGTATCCCATAGTAAAAGGGATATAGTTCCCCAGATACAAAAGGCCAAACATTGTATGATTCCATTCATATGAAATATGGAGAAGAGGTAAACCCAGAGAAACAATAAGCAAATTGGTAGCTGCCGGGGTTGGGGGTAGGGAGGGTGAGGGCTGAGTGCTTGATGGGGACCGGGTTTCCTTTTGAGGTGATGAAAATGTTCTGGAACTAGATAGAGGTGGTAGGTGTACAACATTGTAAATGTATTAAATACCACTAAACTGTATGCTTAAAAATGGTTAATTTTGGCTCCCCTGGTGGCGCAGTGGTTGAGAGTCCACCTGCCAATGCAGGGAACACGGGTTCGTGCCCCGGTCTGGGAAGATCCCACGTGCCGCGGAGCGGCTGAGCCCGTGAGCCATGGCCGCTGAGCCTGCGCGTCCGGAGCCTGTGCTCCGCAACGGGGGAGGCCACAGCGGTGAGAGGCCCGCGTACCGCAAAAAAAAAGGTTAATTTTATGCTATGTAGATTTCACCTCAGTTTTAATTAATTGATTTTTATATTTATAGAGTTTATTTTGATATTAATCTTATTTCCCATTTTGATTCTCTTCATTTCTTTCTGTGGATTCAAATTACCATCTAGTGTCAATTCCTAACTCCAGCATAGCTTCATTCTATGCCCCTCCTTTGCACTGTTATTGTCAAATATATATTACGTTTCTAGGTCATATGCTCAATAGTACAATTTTATATTGTTTTATGCAATTATTTTTCTTTAATTCTTTTTGTCACAATTTAATATTTTTACTTTTTCATACCATTTTTAAAGGTTACTTTCCATTTACAATTATTATAAAATATTGGCTATATTCCCTGTGTAGAAAAGTACTTGCTGATTCATAAGAAATTTGACTTTCAGAGGTTTTTGGTTGGCTTAAAGCAGCATCACTGTCCAGTTTTGTGTCTTTTGTTGGGCTGAAGACCACAACCTCTCAGTAACAGCCAATAAATTGGCACATTCATGATAGGGATCTATTCATAGACTGCCTTATCATCTGCTTCAGAAAGTAAATGGCAGGATACCACAATCCATGCATCCATGTTTACTAAACGCCTCTGTGCATGGGCTCCCAAACCAAGGGGGCACAGACTTTGCCTTCCAGGGGTTCTGGGAAGCACAGCAAGATTACTTCTCTGCTGTCGGCCGGGCTGTGGGGGTGGGGGGGTGTCTGGATGGCTTCCCCTCTACATTGGGTGGTAGAGAAAGCTTGTACTTAGGAAAGAAAGGTCTGTGATCAAATCCCAGTTCCACTTAATTGCACTTGTGACTTAACCTCAGTTTCCTTACCTGTAGAATGGGGATGACATCTCCTCAAAGGGCGGCTAGAGGAATAAGTAAGGTAGTGTATGTCATGTACCTAAGCAGGGTGTTGGCTGTAGTAGGTTCTTGATATCAGGTGGCTGTTTTTAATTAAATGTGAACATGTGGGGTGTGGGAAGGGCATTTTGGCCAGAGGGAGTGGCCAGGGACAGAAGCCAGAGAAAGTTCTACCTTGGAGGTTGAACTAGAGGGTGGGGGCCGGGTGGAGTACAAGTAATGTAACAGGTTATGTAATAGGGGAGGCTCTGTAATAAGGGAGGCTGGACAAGGATAGAGACCCATCCTGCAAGGGATCCTCCCTCTATGCTAGGGAATTGAGCTTGACCCTGTGGATAGGAAGGCAGTACACAGAATCTCCCATCCAAACCCCTCTGCCACAGTCACCATCAGCTGTTCTGGTACCTTTCACTCTCCAGATCTTTATAGAATTTATGAACATCACCTCTAGGACACTGACACTCTTTGATGAAAGCATCTCACTTAACTTGCCTGGACAAAGGAATGTAAACTGGTTAATGAACTTAGGAATTTCTCAACAAGTATCTGCTGAGTGGATATCTGTTCTAGACTCCACAGGGATAACCTTATAACCTTAGCCTGGGAGATGACATACTCACAAAGTGACAATGCAGGAAATGCCAAAATGAGTGGGGGAACAAAAAGCCCGAGAGTGCTTCAAGAAAGCTCACACTGGTGGGCAGGGCCAGTCCTGGAGGCATTTCCTATAGCTGGGGTCTCTCAGCTCTTCACATCACATAGAGCTGGTTAAGACAGACATTGTTTAGAATTGCGGGTGCACGGTGGTAATAAAAAGCAGACCTATTTTTGGTTGATTTTATTAGTGATTTAAAACTCCAAAGACAAAGCCCCACTTATTCCCTGCATCCAGGACCCCCTCCTCCATTTGGAATTTGGGTGCATCATCTCTAAGACTTAATTTCAGAATCAGCAAAAGGAGATAAACAGTTGAGAGGGTGAAATGAGATAATGTGAACTGAAAATGCCTCCGGGCCCAGGGTTTGACCCAGAATATGGCACTTTTTTTTTTTCTCTCAGAATATGACACTTAACATGAGTTCCTTTTCTTCTCTCATCCTCTTTTCTTCTCTCCCTCCCAAAGTGGTCCCAGAATCCAGAATCCAGATAAATCAGCCAATGTTATTCAGTTCTCTTTCTGCCTATGCCAGCTCTGTGCATCCTAGCACACTCCACTCGGGTTGACGAAAAAGTAAAAAGTGTGGCAGAAACAGCAGTCTTGACTTCTCTAGCTAACACAGGCCAAAAATCTTTGGGTTCCTATGTGGGCCTCTTATTAGTGTTCCTAAAAGCATCACCTCAAAACTCACCCTGAGCAAACATGGAGAGCAGGGAAAATGCTGTCTCTTGTCACCTCTTAATCTCCCTATGCCTACACTCCTTCTGGTGTGAAAACAATACAGGGTACACAGTCTTTCACAGATAATAAGAAAATCAGCTAGAATTTGTTTCTAAGTGAAAAAAAGGGGCTGAAAGCTTACAAAGTACTATTGCTACAAAGAAATAAAAACTCCCCCCCCCCCCCTTTTTGGCGTTACGCGGGCCTCTCACTGTTGTGGCCTCTCCCGTTGCGGAGCACAGGCTCCGGACGCGCCGGCTCAGCGGCCATGGCTCACGGGCCCAGCCGCTCCGCGGCATGTGGGATCCTCCCGGACCGGGGCACGAACCCGTGTCCCCTGCATCTGCAGGCGGACTCCCAATCACTGCGCCACCAGGGATGCCCCACCTCCCTTTTTAACTAGGATTTTTACAGGCTAAAAGCAACTTCTCCGCCCTGCTTTTTTAAGAGCGAGAGGTTGGCAAATACATTTATTTGCTCAAGCAGTCAGATACTTAAAAATACACACTATTAGTAATGAATGTATTCTAGGTGAGAAACCTCCTGCTCCCAGCAGATCAGAAGCTGAAATGGTTTCATCCCATAGTGTCTGAGGGAGCCGGATTCTCCGGGGATCTCTTTCCTCAACTCACTCGGAAGCTTGGAAGACTGGGTTCTAGAGAACAAACAAACAAAGCCTCCCAAGCGCCGCCACCGCCTCGTGGCTATCCTGTTAGCACCCAACATCCCGCACCATGTCCGCCTCCTGCACACAAGGCCTGTGGTTTTCTACTAAGCGAGCCAAGGCACTAAGCTTTTCTCTACAACACTTTCCTGGCCTGCAAACTGTGCAAGAAAAACAATTCCAACAGACAAAACTTCAGCGGGAGCGGTTCTCGACCGCGTCTTGAAAACCCCGGAACGTTTACTGGTGGAGCAACGTGAAACCCTTTCTTTTTGGGGTGGTCCTGGGAGAAACAGGCCACAGTGATAACAAATGCAACGAGGTCCCGCAGGCTTCCCCAAGAAAATCCGACCCCGTTCCTCCTCCACCTCCAAAACCCTGCCGCGGGGCCGGCTGCATCCTCCAAAACCCAGTGCAAAGGGGCATCAGCTGAGCCCGCAGCGGAGGTGGGACGGGCACCCCACCCGGATATGAGTTGGGGACACTCTGATCTCAGCCCGAAGGCGCAGTCAGGGGCACCCACTGAGTACCGGAGCAGCAGCGTCCCTCCTCCTCCCGCCCGCCCCATTCCCGAGGAAGCCCGGGCTGCGGGGCCGGGGGTGGGGACAGGGAGGGAATGCCGGGGGCAACTCTCACCTGGTTTGGGGCCTCGGGCGCGGGCCGACAGCAAGGGGCCGCACAGACTGAGCCCCGCGGCGACGAGCAGCAGCCACCGCGGCCCCATTGTCCGGAGGCTCAGGGCGTTCGGCGCGGTCGGTGCGGCGCTGCTCCGTGAGACGGGCCCCGCCGCCGGGAGGCTCGGGCCGCACGCTCTGTCCCTCCACGCCCTCCACGCCCTCCTCGCGCAGAGTCCGGAGGGCGGCAGGGGCGGGCAGACACAGTGCTAGCCGCTGGGCAGGAGGAGGCTGCTCGGTGTGTCTGGCGGCGCTGGGCAGGACAAGGGGCGCTGGGCGCGGGCGGGGGCGGGGTGCGCGGCCGCCGGGCCGGAAAGGGCGCCCCCTGGCGTCGAGTGTGCGCCTCGACGCGGCCGCCGCCCTCCGGTCCCTCTGCAGTCGCTGGGCCACCCACGGGGCTCGGCGACCTAGCCGGCCCTCTCTCCCGGTGCGCCGCCCGCCCGGCGCCCCGTCTGCTAGACCCCCGCAACTGAGACGTTGTTTCCTTGGCCTTCGCCTTGGACCCGCGAAGGTACCAGTAACTCAGTCTGGTGGGAACATTTGCTCTCGGGGAGCAAAGACTATGGCAGAGAACCTCCGATCAGGGATGCGCCCCTCCCTGCCCTCGGGCCGGACCTCAGGCCGAGCAACGCGCCGCATTTGAAAATTCGGCGTTCAGCTACAAGTTTGAAAGTGACTTGTGTTTTTGTAATTTGGAGATCGTGGATTTAAAAGTTTATACTGTAAAGACAGGGTTGCCTGCTGATGAGAAGGGGCTCTTAGCTTTGAACAGAATTCTTGACGTTTCTTACTCGCTTCCCTTTGTTTCGCTACTCAGATATTTCATACGTCGGGCACTTATTTCTTCGACACAATGACTGCGAGTGGATACAATCTTCCGGTACCAAGAACAGGTTCTCCGCGTTCGCACTCGGGCACGGCTGCAACTTTCTCCCTCTATCCAGAGCTCTCAGCCGCGCTGCGCATCCACCTGCGCGGGCTTTTCCGGAAAGCGGGCGAGCTGGGCTTTCCCCACGCGCCGGGCAGTACTCGGGCGCCTCCAGCGAGTGGGATGCCCGGAGGGCGAAGTGCCCAGGTAACTCACACTTTCTAGACGCTACGACCCGAGTTTAATGGAGTTCGGCCCAATTCAAGTCAAGAGGGGGAGGGCACTCGAGCCTCTGGCTGAGGGCCCCCTGGGGGACAGCGCGGCTGAGGCTCCGCAGGGAGGAGCCCGCAGATTATCTTGTTTAGAGAGCGTATCTAGTGAGCGCGTCTTTCAGACCGCAAAGGGAAATGGGTCCCCTCAACGGGCCGTTTCTGGGAAAGTTTACCCGCAGCCCCTTCTCTTCCCAGATGTCGGGGTGTGTTCTGCACCCTGGGTCTGATAAACTGCTATTGAGAGTCACTGGTCAGGTTTCTAAGCTTTTTAAAAAGGGAATTTCGCGCAGTATCATTCCCCAAGGAGAGCCCTGACACTTAAACCAGTGGAGAAAATACAGCAGGGACCATCTCGTTCTTCCCTGTATTCCCCCTCATCATCCTCAGAGCACAGCGTCTTGTTGTACATAGAAGTTGCTCATTAAATTACCGAATAACCCAATTCATTAACGCTATTTTTTTTAATTGCGTATTCAATTCTCGGAGGAAAACCTATCCAAGAGTAGATGTGAATCATTAAAATTAGATATTTCTCCATTCTCTATCAACATACTATTTATTTTTTATCAACCCTAAGACGCCATTGATTTCAAAACGTCATTTTGATTTATGTACCACAAGCAAGAAAAACAATGGTGCCAATTAAACTGTGACATACCATTGCTTGTAAGATTCATCTCAATTGCAGGACTGTTTAAACACGAAGAAAGGCCATCTCAGAATCAATCAAATACAGGGTAAAGATATAAAAGTAATTAAAATATGTGGCAAAATATTGTAACAGTTCAAGCATATAAAATGAAAAGTAAAAGTGTCTTCAGCCTTCCCTTCTAAGAACCACATCTGCTTGATGACCACTGTTGAAAGTTTCTGTCCATCATTCAAGAAATTGTGATCACATACAGGTATACATGTATGTATAGCCTTAAGAATGGAGTACTCTGACTATACTTTTAAATTTTATCTGTTTCATTGCTGGAAAATGTTTTAACCATTTTCTAAAACTGTAAAATTTAAAAGGATTTTTTTTTTCTTCATTATTAGAACAGAATGTACCTCTAGTGACAAAAAGAGGGCTGCTGAAAGAATGAAATGCTTAAATTCTTTGTGCACATTAACTAAAGTATCCATTATAGTGGGGCTGCAATACACGGAACAAAGGAGAGTGGAACAGAATGAGGTATTTCTTCCTCACTTTAGTGTTCTCTAAAGATTGTGGATTGCTAGTTGAGCAGCCACCAGAAAGTGAACTTACCTTCAAAAACAGTGGTTTTACATGAAAGGATGCTCAATATCACTAATCATTAGAGAAATGCAAATGAAAACTACAATGAGGTATCACCTCACACCAGTCAGAATGGCCATCATCAGAATATCTACAAACAAATGCTGGAGAGTGTATGGAGAAAAGGGAACCCTCTTGCCCTGTTGGTGGGAATGTAAAATGATACAGCCACCGTGAAAAACAGTATGGAGGTTCCTTAAAAAACTAAAAATAGAACTACCATATGACCCAGCAATCCCACTACTGGGCATATACCCTGAGAAAACCATAATTCAAAAAGAGTCATGTACCACAATGTTCATTGCAGCTCTATTTACAATAGCCAGGACATGGAAGCAACCTAAGTTTCCATCAACAGATGAGTGGATAAAGAAGATGTGGCACATATATATACAATGGAATATTACTCAGCCATAAAAAGAAACGAAATTGAGTTATTTGTAGTGAGGTGGAAGGACCTAGAGACTGTCATACAGAGTGAAGTAAGTCAGAAAGAGAGAAATACCGTATGCTAACACATATATATGGAATCAGAAAAAAAAGTTTCTGAAGAACCTAGGGGCAGGACAGGAATAAAGATGCAAATGTAGAGAATGGACTTGAGGACACGGGGAGGGGGAAGGGTAAGCTGGGACAAAGTGAGAGAGTGGCATGGACTTATATATACTACCAAATATAAAATAGCTAGTGGGAAGCAGCCACATATCACAGGGAGATCAGCTCAGTGCTTTGTGACCACCTAGAGGGGTGGGATAGGGAGGGTGGAAAGGAGAGGCAAGAGGGAAGAGATATGCAGATATATGTATATGTATAGCTGATTCACTTTGTTATACAGCAGAAACTAACACACCATTGTAAAGCAATTATACTCTAATAAAGGTGTTATAAAACAAAAAAACAAAAAAAAACCCCAGTGGTTTTGACTTTTAACATGCACAAGTGCAGATTCCTGGGCTCCATCCAAGACCTATAACATCAGATTCTACACTTTTACAAGCATCCTCAGGTGATGGTAATGTCTGAGGGTTTCCAGGCCAAAGTTTTGAGTAACAATATTCTAAGACAGGGTTCTCAAACTTTAGCATGGATCAGAATCACCGGGAAGACTTGTTAAATACCAGTGCTAAGCTCCATTTCCAGAGCTCCTGATTCAGTGGGTCTGGGAAATGGACTGAAAATTTACATTTTTAACCAGATCCCCAGGTGATCCTGAGGCTGCTGGGGACACACATTTTGAAAACCACTGCTTTGAGAGGGAAAAAGAACTGGATTCCATATAGTTTGTATTGCTTTCCTTTAAATGACACAATATTTCAAGCATAGAAAACTACAGAGCCTAATATAACACTCATGGCATTTAATTTTATATATATATATATATATATATATATATATATATATATAAAATTGTTTAAGCTTTTTCATTTCCCTTTTCTGATTCCATTCTTTTTACCTGCCTGGAAGAGTAACTTTCTCATCCACGTTCTTGTACTTTTAGTTTAGTACATTTGTGTTTCCCCTCAATTTTTTTTTCTTAGTACTGTTTTGTGTGTTTTAAATATTTACACCAAGAGTAACATACTCTAAGAATACTTTTGCAGTTTGCATTTTTTTAGATTTACCTGTTTGATACCTGTATATCTAAATTTTTTAAACTATAGTATTGATATTTCCTTGTATTATATAACCACATTTTATTCTTCTAAAGGTATCTATTTTATCTGTAGTTTTGGCCTCACTTTTATTCCTAATATAACTTATTTCTACTTTTTTTCCCCCTTGATGAATCTGGCCAAAGGTTGGAAATGATCTTTTTTTTTTTTTTTTTTGCAGTATGCGGGCCTCTCACCGCTGCGGCCTCTCCCACCACGGAGCACAGGCTCTGGACATGCAGGCTCAGCGGCCACAGCTCACGGGCCCAGCCACTCCGCTGCATGTGGGATCCTCCCGGACCGGGGCACGAACCCGTGTTCCCTGCATCGGTAGGTGGACTCTCAACCACTGCGCCACCAGGGAAGCTCCGGAAATGACCATTCTTTAATGCCCATCTTTTTGTTTTGTTGCTTTTATTGCTTAATTTTAGTGTCCTTAATTTTCACACAGGCTTTTAAAATTTCCTTCTTTCTACTTTCTTTGGATTTACTCTTAATTATCCTAACCTTTTGAACTGATTGCTTAGCTTAGTTTTCACTTCTCCCTGAAATGACCACTTTGGCTACATTTTGCAAGTTTTGATATGTTCAAATATGCAATTCAGGCCTAAATATTTTGTCAGCTTCATTCTATCTTCTTCCATCCATAAGTTATTGGAAGTTTTGACTGGCTTTTTTTTTATTGATTTCCAATTTTGTGTTATGGTCTGTTGGTGATGTTCTGTTTTCTCTACAAAAGCTCCTGTAATATTTGTGTGCTCTATAGGGCTTCTTGAAAAAGATATCAATCTCTCTACTTCTTTTGTTCCATGTTACCCATACCAAAACCTTTTTTGTTGCTGGTTTTAGAGCAAATACGTGCAGGTTCCCTGGAGTAGAAAATTGACCCAACCAGAGATGGCTACCTAACACGTTAATATCCCTTGGAAATGAAATCTCATCATTGCAGCGTCATTCATATTGGAACCACTTA